AGTTCTGTTCTTCCTCTTGTGTGCCAGGCTGGTTCTTGACCTTTTTGATATGTGTTATAAGGCTTCTTTCAGTTTCTTACAGACTTAAAATTGGGGTATATTATTTTAAACTGAGTTATTTTGGAGTTGCCTCCTTGCTTTGTGAGTGTGCTTTTGGTTGTCCTCTTTTCCAGGCTTTTGCTGTTTAAAGACCTTCAATACTTAGTGCATTGAAGAGTCTCTTTGGTATTTGTCTCCACTTACCATGTTGAGGCTTCAGTACCTTCAGGACTTTAACTTTTTTAACTTTAACTTTAAACATATTGGTCTCGATGGCTCTTAGTCTTTAATTTCTCCTTTCACATAGTTGTATGCAGGTATTGATCTTTTGATCGTGTCGCTTCAGGATGGTGTATTGCAAAGACTTTACAAATTATGCTGCTAACAGAATTTTTCAATGCTTTCTGGTAATTGAAAACAGTCCTGAAGAAAGTCCTCTATATGAACAATATAATCTTAAAAGAACACAAGTCATATGAAGCCAGGACCTTGCCAATGACTGTGTACTACAGTTATGTGTACCAGAACTATGTTTCCACCTGGAGTTTCAGTTTTGCTCTGCAGACTGTGTGCAGCATTATAGTCTTGGCCACCATTGTGCAGAATATTTAGCAGTGCAAGGGTAAAATCTCAACTCTGTCATAAGATAATGTACTTCTCTTTTCTTTCTGTGGTCTTCTCTGTCTCTATCCTTTTTGCTAGCCATCCAAGTCATCAAATTTAATTTCTCTATAATTAAAATAGGTTATGTTCCGGATCCATATGAAGGATCACTGTTCATGATATAAGTCTATCCCCCAATTATCTATAAGACTATTGAACTTTGCAGATGTCATATTTGGGGCCACTAGCACTTTGAAAAGGTACTTCTGGAGGTATTCACACTGTTAATGTCCATCATAAGTCAGAAGACTGACTGTTTTAAGCTCCTCAGAAGGGCAGTTGTGAGCACTGAAGTTTGGTTCCTGTCCTGAACCATATGTATTATTGCTCTCAACCTTGTCCACAGTAGGTGAATGAAAACTATAACAAGGAAATGGTAGCAGAGATTACGTACTCGTGTTTTTAATATGCCCAGGATAATCCACTGTTTTTACTGTTCAGGACATGTTCTGCTCGGCTGTGGTCCCTGCTATCATCAGCCTGCCTTCATTCTGGAAATTTTTCTAGTCTGACAAAAGTAAGAAAAGCTGTGACTTCATTTAAGGCGGAAGATCCTCAAGCTTATAGGAGGCAGGACACTGGCTCCTCAGCTGGCTGGGAGCAAATTGAAGTATAAGCCATTTAGTTCCTTTCCAAAGAGGACCAGTCTATGCTGGGAAGAAAGTTTCTTCTGTCCTACAGTTTGAATACAACCTTTTTGTGGGATGGAAGTGTTAGGCTAAGTACCTTTTTGTGGTTGGAAAGGATTTCTCCCTTGCTATCAGAATAGGGGATGAGAGGCATGGAATTTTCTAGGGTTTGTGTTTGGGTTTTTTTTCCCCAGTTCTCAGAGCAGGCAATAAGAACACCTTGATACTGCTTAGTTCAGATACTTACCCTATTTGGGATGTGTTTTCCTAATAGGCTGCACTTGGAAGTGTATAAAGAGCAGAGATACTGTAAAATGGGGTTGAAGTTTCCATTGTCTCATACAAGAAGTGCAACACTACCATTTTTTTTCCATTCATCTGGCAATTAATTTCATACACTCTGGGCAAGCCTTACTATTGGTTCTTTTTCCTTTCCCATCTCAGACATGGTGCTGCCTGCTCACCAGCAACCTTATTACCTTGAATTACAACGCAGCGTACTGCTTAAGTGTTGGTACACCTTATGAGTTGCAAGAGCCATAGAAAAAGCATAAATATCCCAGGTTAGTATGAATAACATGAGTAGAAGTCTCTAGCAAGTGTCACAGTTTGCCTTGAGAATGGCTTGTACTGGACAATTTGTTGCGTGATAGTTCCAGATGAGTTATTAACACTGGACTGGATTGAACAGCCTTTGTCACTAAGTACCTGTGGTCATGAGCAACCATATGACCGATGATTAGTCCAGGAGAGTTCATGGAGTGTAACCATACTCACCTTCTCATGCTAGAAGTCACAAGACACTTCTCAACATCCTGCAATGGTTTTCTGATCTTAAAGATAAAATACCAGCATACGCAAGTTAATACTACTACTAAAAGAAGTTGTGGCTATTTAAATTGTATAGATTTGTAATAGTAAGTCTAACTAGTGCTATATAAATAAAATGGCACAGTTCCCTTCTCTTTTTAATGCCTATAGAAAAGGTATTTTAAGAGTTAATTTTTCAAAATTACAGATCAGCCATAAAATCACAAGAAGTAAATAAAAGCATAAAATTCCAAATGTAATGTTGGATTTGTAGCATTTTCAGTACTTGCAGCCATATTCCTAGGTCAGACAGAATGGTGCTAGATTTTCCAGGCACATCCATGCTAAGTGCAGGAAACCTAGCCATTATGATGATGTTTTCAACTCTGGGAAATTTGGGGCTTTGATGCTACTTCAAGATATCTTGTGTATCACCTTCCATCCTTTAAAGCTGACAGCATATGAGCCATTGCTAGGATATCCCTGAACTTGTTGATCTTCTGCTGCCAAAAAAACCCTCCTGTGGTCTTAAACTGGGGAAGTTTATGGCAGTTTTTCCTCAAGTCTGTCTGGGCCGTGGAGACCATCCAGGTGCTGAGCTGCCTGAGGATCATAATCTCACACTTTGCATCCAAGCCTCCAACCCACTATATCTTTCTTCATGTTTACTCTTATTAAAAGCTTTCATTAGGTTAAGTCTTTGCTATACCAGAATGCTCTACTGATTTAACAGTCCAATTTTTAAGGCTGATATTGCTTTTTATTTTATTAGAGTAGTGCATAAAAAGCCAGTTCGGATCACAGCCCCATTGAGCCAGGCTGTGGAAAAAATGAGGCAAGGTTTACTTCTGCCCTGAAGACATCACAGTCTAAATAGATGAGAGAGAATAGAAGAAATAGATACAAACACATAGCTGCAAAAAGGGGTAGATTTTTGCAAGTGGTGTCTAAAATACATTTGCTTCATAGCAATTTTTTTATCTTCTGAGTGTTCTTTTAGTGGTTTTGATGGTTAGTAGATGCCTGGATTTAGAGTGAAAAATAAAATTTCTATGTTTGAGGCCATATTATCATTATACTCATTTTAATGTCTGTACAACATCGGCATCTGAGACTGCAGGAACTTAACTGCTTTACTTGTTGGCATTACACTGAAGTTGATTTCGGTGAACCATAAAAAGTTTGGCCCTGAAGGTAAAATTACACTGTATGCATGTTCCTAACATACTGCTTTGGGGATAAACATGTCTTAAATCAACTCATCGCTCCCAGCTAAATTCCTTCTCCAAATGCAGTTTCCCTGTAGATAGTAATGTTCAGTAAGACTGATTTTCTTTAAAACCATAAAGTTTTTTGAACATAATTCTATCAATAAACATATTTGAGCAGGGTAGCAAAGAATTCACATAATCCTAATAAAGATTTGGGGTTTTTGTGAAAGGAAGGGAGGGGCACGTGCCAACATTTTTAATTAGCTTTCATCAGTACCTCTAATTTGTTCGAATGTGTTCCAAACGTTTGCATATTGTGTTTGCTCACATGTACATAATGAAAACTTTTGGACTTCATTGAAACTTTATTTGGTAATTGTGCATTTGGAAAATTAAAATTGAAGTTTATGATACCCTGGCTCCTACTTGCTCAGTTCATAGTGTGTTGTTAAGATGCCATCACTTGAGAGCTTTGTTACAGCGACGTTTCTGTTGTGGCTTAATATGCTGTGGGTTCAGATGGCTGTAATTGTGGCCTTGAGGGGTTGGACTAAAGAATACCAGCTGGGTTTGTACCCAGATATTCTTGGATTAATATTTTGGGACTTAGATCTTGTCCTGTCTGGAATTTAAACATAATTCTCCAAGCTTTAAAGGGAAGGCAAACACCATTTGAGGCTCTTAATGAGCACTTTTTTTCCTCTTTAAGTTGCTTTTTTTTTTCCTTTTTTTTTTTTCTTTTTTTAAACTCCTGTAGCCAGTGAAATCCAGGCAGTTACTTCCAAACTGTTTTTACAGCCCCATACGGACAAAGCGCTTTAGTTTGTTCCGCAGCTTAATTCCCAAATTAATAATAGTTAGAAAGTTCTTACATCTGCATCTCCATTTTTCTTAGAATATATAAGGGTAAAAAAAAATTTCCCTAGATATTAGGCAAGCCTTTGAAGTGTGAACAACTTTGTTACATTTGAGACGGCAAGTCTTTCCTTGCGACTAGGTTGATTTTTTTTTGGTTGCTCTTTGAAATAATTCCTTTTGTTTCAGGTCTAAAATTTCAATTTTATTTCTACATGGAGACAAGAGACTTAAACTCCCCCATAGTGGGGAATCAGTCAGGGTTTTTCTTCTATTTAGAAACCTTTGACCCATTCCTCTCCTGTTCAGTGAATAGAAACGGCAAGACAACTTGTGCTGAGGGTGACTACAGATCTGCTCTCCATGTAGCTCATGAAGTGAACCTGCAGGGAAGAGGGTTTCAGGAGTCCTGCTTATGGGAAAAAAATGCTTTTAAAGTATTTTTTTGCAAAAGAGAGCCTTTCTTGTACCCCTGAGTATATATTAATTGGTTATAATCCTTAGTTTTGAGGCACATAATTATTCACACAGCAGCACGTGATGGATTCACAGGTACAGTTACAATTTCTTTGTACTGGCAAGCAGCCTTTTCTGAGGGACAGAGAGGAACTTTTTGTGTAAAGCTTCAAGTTCTATCATTAGTTGTGTAGTAAAGGATTCAGATAAGTGGCAAAACATATACAAGTGCTTAGCAGTTTAACCAACTAGCTGTTAAGTGGTCTGCCTGGATATTTCATTACTGTAAGTGGTTTGATATCTATTTGCATTTCTTTTTCTTTTTTTTTTCTTCCAGATCATTACTAAATATGTTTATGAACTACTGCAAACGGAATGCCACTTGAAGAAAGTAACTCTCCCAGTAAGTATCTTTTTTTTTTTTTTTTTTTCCCCCCCCCCAAAGACGTAGTTTTTTTGGATCTTTAAAAATCATAGCCTGCAATCCAGTATTCAGATGTGCCAGGGGTCTGTGCAGGGCATTGTCTCAGGACACTGCCTTCGCATGCAGCATGGTGTGCATCTGAGATGTGGTTCCACCTCACTTCTCATGTGTTTCATTTCTCCAGCTGAGCCTTCCTTGCCTTACCAGACACCAGAATTTTCAAAATGTGGTAGTTTTTATAGAGAAATCATAAGCTTTTTGAAAAGTATTTGTGAATGTTTCAAGACCTCTACTGCTGGATGTAGAGAATGAATGTGCCTTTATAGGCAGAGGAATAAACTCAAACTGAGTTTCAGTAAACTACTCCCAAGTCTTTTTTTAAAACACACTTTTCCAGTAACTTGTAACATGTATGTAATATAAGGTGCTGCTGTTGTTTAGTGGAAATATTTGATCAGCCTTTGGATGAAGCACTCCCCAAAGAACACGTATGAGACTTTTTGTAAATACATGTGATACCATGATGATGTTAGGTATTTTTATATTATATACTGGAGAAAGTAGGGGAGACTATAGTGTGACAGCACTGAGTAGGTTTTCCGTCACTATCATAAAGGATTCTTACGGTGTTTGAGAAGCTTTTGCATTCCTGCTGTTCTCAGCCAGTCCTTCATATTCAGTCAGGGAGAACCCATGTGGGCTAAGGAAGGAAAAGGTCCTTTGCTTTAGCAGTTCTGTAATGTTTCACGCTTCCCATTATTTCTGTTCCCTAAGTGTTGTTCCGGTAATGTTTTGATAACCTGCCCAAACTACTCCAGGTTTCCCAGCCAGGCTTTGCCAGTTTTTCCTGGTCAGGGCAGAAGGAGCTGTGCCAGGAGCTCCATGGAGCAGTCAGAGGGTGAGCAGTTTCTCTCCTTCGCAGTCCCAGCCTACTAAACCACGTAGGCTATGCTGATGCCCCAAGACCCGAGAGTGCTTGAGAAAGCATTTCCCCACTTCAGATTTCCCTGTGTAGGCAGAGAAGAGGATTGGGTTCATCGTGGCAGTCTGCTGGTGCAGCGCTGGTCATGATCTCTAACTTCTTTGCACAACCAGTTTTCTTCACTGCGGAAGTTTTGGTCCAAGGAGTTACTTCTGTGTACCAGGCAGGTGATGTATCAAAAGACTTCTTCAAGCCATGTCACCCTCTCTCTGTAAAACCAGGAAGCTTTTAAGTGCCTGAATTTTGAGGCTATAGAACTTTCTTTGTCCTTTCTAGAAAGGAATATGCAAGTAAGTAATGCAGTGCTAAGGCTGATCTATTAGCTTCAAAAAATGAAGACAAACAAACTTGGAATAAGTATTACAACACCTCCATCACCTTTGTCACACACGTGGTGACTTGTCCACGTGGCTCTGAGATTTGGATGTCTGGCTTGGGAGAAGAATGGCCCTGTCTAGCTCCCACTGTTGAATTAATCTGTGTTTACTCTTATTTATAAATTAAGTACTGATGGAGTTTGTCAGTAGTACATTTAAGCTATTCTTAAATATGTTACTTCCAGCTTCTGCAAAGCGTCATAATTTAATTGCATTTTGGAGCAAAGAAAGAACTCAGAAAATATATGCAGCTGTTTAACTGTGAGCAGTGTGGAAAATTAGGCACAAGGTATGAGCACTGTTCTTTAGTAATAAGTATTATGCGTAGGAAGCCCTCACCACAGTCAAAGATAGGTTATGAAGAGGCCTACAAAAAAGAGAAAAATGAAACAATGCATATAGAAGCTGAAAAATTAAAGCTGTCTAAAGGCTATGTTTAAATCACCACTGACAGACTTCAAAATAACAACAGAAAAAACCTAGTTTAAACTAGTAAAGGAGAATAATAGAGGTAATAAGACAGCTTCTCTAGCAAGAGTAAGTCCTGTGCAAGTGAGGAAAATACAAAAGAGTATAAATGCTGGCAAGTTACATAAAAAATCAGAGTGAGATCACCCAAAACTGCATTTGAGGAGCTTGTTAACAGTTGTAAAGGCTAATGATAAAAGGGAGCTGATGAGGTTAATAGATGAGTGGCCTGCAAAAGCAATGCTCAGCTCAAATAAGAACAACTAACATGATTATTTCCAATTTATTTGTCCAGTTTCCACACTTTATTATTATTTTATTTTAAACGGGTTATAATTCTGAGGAACTGTCTGAAATGTGACATATCAGTAGAAGAGATCTTAGGACAAATTGATAGATCGCACAATAATCAAATTCCAGGATGAGATGGTTATTAAGCCAGGGTTCTATAAGAAGTCAAATAAGAAGCTTCAGAGCAACCAACTAGTATGTAACTTACTGCTGAAATCAGCTATTTTCATCAGAGAAACAGAAAAAGAGTAAATGCGATAGTCTTTGAAAGGCCTCCAGGAGTGATTCATAGTGATTCCTCTGTATCAGAAGGAAATAATATATTGGGGGAAAAGTCAGTATAGGTTTCTTTTTAAAAAACCTACTAGAATTCATTGAAGGAGTCAGAGATCGCATGAAAGAGAAAGATCTTGTCAGTAAAAGAGTACGTGGATTTCCAATAAGCTGTCAACGAGCTCACCAAATGCTTTTTAAAAGCATAGGAGGAGGGATTCCTCTTATGAGTCAATAATTTGTTAAAAGGGAAAAAAGGTATTAATATTTTAAAGATGAAATAATTTGTTCCTGGTGCAGTGTTATTAAGGCCTTCACTGACATAGTTGTAAATAAAAGGAAAAAAGAAACTAATAGAAGCTAACAAACTTTTCTGTTTTTTCTAAAATTATTTGGGATACTTAAATCTCAAGCTGATTGTGATGAGTTGGGGAATTATTTCATGATGCTGAATGATTGGATGATAAGATGACATGAGATTCAATTCTGGTAAATGTGAAATTATGGGGAAAATAACTCACTCTGTAAACACAATGGTGGCCTCTAAATGAGCTATTACTACTCAGGAAAGAGCTTGGAGAGATTGTGAATAGTTCTCTGAGAACATCAGTTAGTGCTCAATGGCAGTCAAAAACCCTCAAAGCAAATAGGATGTTAGGAATTATGAGGTGTTGAGAACAAAACAGAAAAACATCGTCATTCCACTCATTATGTGGGCCCTCATCTTGAACACTGCATGGAGTCTGGACACTATATCAAAAAGGATATGAAGAATTTAAAAAAAAAAATACAGAGGAGGGTTACAAGGATGATCACAGGCATGAAATGCTTTTCAGACAAAGAAAGATTAGACAAAGATTCTTCAGCTTGGAAAATAGATGACTGAGGAAGGAATATGACAAATCTATAAAATCATGAAAGGTGTAGAGAAGATGAATAGGGAATGGTTTTTCGCTTTTTTCATAATAGAGGAGCTAAGGGGCATCAAGTTTAAATTATCAGGCAGGAGATCTCTACTGAAAGAGAGGCAGTACTATTTCATATACGTCCCAATTATATTGTGGAACTCATTGCCACAGAATACTATCAAGGAGAAAGGTATAAATGTATTCAAAAAAACCATTTGACAATACTAAGGTGCAGTAGGTGCATTGAACTATTGTACATGCTTGTCCAGTTATAAACTGCCTCGGGAGGCTCCAAAGTTACTGGTTGCCAAAACCAGGGAAGAATCACTTTATAACCACTCTGTTCCTGTACTGTTCCCCCAAGCAATCAGGCAGTTGTCAGAAACAGGATCATGGGACCTTGATCTGACCACGATGGCTCTTCTTATGAATATGACGTTATTATATGAACATTTTGGAGGTGAATAAGAAAACATGTTTTTTCTGAACTTCGTCACAGGTGACAGACGGTGTGTCGGCCTTCTTTTTTCTGCAGCTGATGATGAAGTAGATAGTGTAATGATGTTCGAATATATGAAATGTGTTTCAGGACTGTGTTAAGTGGAGTACTTTTTTATTTTTTATTTTTTCAGCGTGATTTTAGTAGTGTACAGAAATGCTATGCTTCAAAGGTTTAGGATGACAGCATTTCATGTTCTCTCATCTTTCTTAATTTCAGCCTCATATGCAAAGTCCAACTTGCTGTCTTTATTTTGCTTTCCCAGGCAGCAGCTTCAGTTTTTGACACAATTGTTTGTAAATTTCTTTTCAGATATGAAAATAAGAGCAGTTTGGAAATCAGGAAAGCTCGCCCATTATTTTAGTATGTCAGCATCTCTGACAAGACATAAATCTGAACGTTTTTTCCTACACAGGGAGGCTGAGATGCATACTGCATTATTGTTACTGTGAAGTATTGTAGTTCTCTTAATGTTTAACATATACTACTGGACTTGAAAATTTAAATGAAGAGACTCACAGTCTGGGAGAAGCCGTGCAATTATTTCTTTTAAATTTCTCATTTTGTGCTCCATTGAAGGTTATATTATGAATATAAAGATGACTGCAATTTTTTTATCCAGATGAAGTCTTTGTATTTCTTTAGTTTTGATGGCATAATCAGTGATTGATCTTTGCTGTTCTTTAGGAGTTGAGGACAAATAGAGGGTGCTTCTGAATTAAATGCATCTTTAATGGCTTCTGGGAAGGCTTGAGATGTTAGTTTAAATAATTACTAATATGGGTTATTGACGATGGCACTGAAAAGTCTAACTTTGCAGAATCTTCTAACTTACCAATGCTTTGCTCTTTCACTACAGTAGGTAAAACTTCATTCAGTAGTTCTCCTGATCTACTAGACAGCCAGGAACTACTTTTCTTTGAGAAACAATGGTCTGTTATCTCCACTGCATGTTCCTTTTGGCTGTTTTGTTGCCAAAGTCCAGTCAATACTTGTCTTGTAAAAATTCCACTGATTTTAGGTTTGTTAAGTTAGTTGTGGTAATGGCCAAATGGTATTTAGCTGCTTATAGTATTGATCAGCAGTTTTCATTTTTCACAATTTTGAGTGAAAAATTATAAATCGGGATATTCAATATTGTAAAGACTGTAACATAAGTGAGTTAGCGAGCTTTATGTAGAGCCGCATAACAGAAGACTTTCTTATCTTGCAAAGCAAATGAGCAGTTTTCTCTCTGCACCAGCTGCTCACAATTCTCACAATCTTTTTGAGTCTTTGCAGTTTCAGTTCCATTTATTTGCCATGTTTTTTCCTCCAGTCACAAGTTACACCTGTTTCACTTGTTTGCAGGCTCTAGGTTCATAATTTTTATTGTGTTTCTTAACTGGAATAAGAAAAATATTAGTGGATTTTTTTCCCCTTTAAAAAGTTAACATTCAATCTTAAACTTAAAAACTTCCAATGTACAAAATAAAAGACCCCTACAGCCTAGTCAGGTCTTGTGTATCTTGGGTTGGTAATGGCTAAGAACTGAAAATTAAGTCAATGTTGATGTGGTAACATGAATGTCAGTAAGATTAGATTTCAAGTATAGTTTGACTTTACCCTATGTATTCATAGCAGCTGTGCAAAATACTAACTAGTATGCAGTTGAAATACTCTGTAGGCTGGTACTACTGTATTAGGTGATAGCTCATTTGAGACAGAACTCAAAAGGAAAAAGTAATTCACTGTTTGAAAACCTTAAGAAAATCATAGTATCTGTAGAGCACATAACTCAGAGAATTCACCGTAACTGCATACATTCATAAACCTTAAGGTATAGTTTTGTGTTGGAAAAATAAATCTGAGAAAAGAAAAATGAAACTTTACACAGTAGTTTTAAACAGCAAATTATCAGCAGAATTTAGATTGATTTGACATTCCTAGCTACAGATTATTGGAAGATTGTTGTTGCATGTGAATAACAACATTGAATCAAATTGTTAAATTAAACTAATTAAAGTTTAGCATTTTACTGAATTTTACTAATTTATTTGATTTGTCTTTGAATAAAGGATCAGAAATAAGTGTTCATGAGTAGGTCTGGAAGAGAAAGTGGCTAATAAATATAAATTATTTTATGTGGACTCAGTGTGTCTAGCACTAAATAGTACTCTATGTTGATTTGTCAGTAAAGTAAGGTTGTGCACAAGAGTGACCTTTATGTGAATTCTTCAGTGAAAGCTTGATCTAATGAATTACTACTGTTTGAAGATAAATGAGCTTGAATAAAAGTTTGCAAATGTGATTAATTTGAGGAAGAGAATGAAGAGTTATTTTTTATGGTCTTGGTAGATATTTTTAACTTCTAAATTAACATATTTGCAGAAGTGTGAACTAGTGATATCTTCTAATACATATGATCACTAAGTGCTAGTATTTCCTAAATAGTAAACAAAAATTTAGTTATTATAAATACTAAAGCATACAGCTAAGTGTTATCTTTTTCTGAAATACAAGTGCACAATGTTTTTTCTTAATTACAGTATCGTAAGTATTCAGTTCATGTGCAAAAGTCAGTTACATCTTGCCAAGCACTATCTGAGATTTAGTGTTGTCTAACTTTTTACCTAAGCTGTGTTAAATTTTAAGGTATCAATACTGCTACTTCAGAAGCAGCAACGTGATCTGACTGTAGCCCCAGTATGGTACCTGTTGCACTTATATGTTCTGTACTCTTTTCAATAGAATGTATTTTTTACCGTGTTTTCTATTTTCGCACAAAGTGTGAGAGAACACGAGTACTTTTCCTGGTGTAGACGGTGCGAGCTGAGGCACGTGAGATGTTACGTCATTTTGGAGCAGGGAATGAGGTCTTCAGCACTCCAGCAGATGCTGAGGAGAAACATGACCATTCTTCCAGTTAGGAATCCCTTTTGTTTAAGTAGCCTCATTGATTTCATTAAAAAAATACTCGGTAGGACTTGCATTAAAAAAAAGTCTGGCGATTCATGCACAATTAATTTTTCCTGAGGTAAGGGTAATAAAGAATACATACCCACGTATGAGAGAAAAACTGACATCATCCAAATAGCCATTCCTCCTGTCAACCTAAGGCTCATATCCTGACCTGCCGTTCATCGCTGTTGCAGGGCGTAAGACAATCCAGGTTTGTTCCTGGGAGCTGTACCGTTAGCCTGTGCGGGTCATGGGGTGTGGAGTACAGGAGGACAGGGAGATTTGCCTGTTCTGTTATTTCTTTTCTATGTGTTCATATGGTAGAAAGGGAAGAATGAGTAGACCAGATGTTTTTTTCTGCCCTCATGGCATTTACACCAGCACAGTTCTTAACTAGCCTTGAGCTAGGCTTGCTAAACCAAGTGTAGACCATCTCTATAGAACTTCTGTTTTTATTGAACAAAAAGTGCTGCTTTACTCTCTAGAGTAAGGACAAAACTTGGAATTAGATTATGGTTTACTGATTATCAAAGCTGGTTGTTGGTCTGTTCCTACAGCAAAGTAGCTAAGCATTGACCCAGGTGCAGGACTCTTAATGAAGCCATTATTTAGACCCAGATCGGATTTCTATATTTTCCTAGGCCTATCCTATTAAATTTGTAATAGATAAATTTACAATACAGGTTCCTCTGTGGCTTACTGGGTATTTCTGTTGAGGTGGCTGAGATGGAACTCTCCAGGATTTTTTTCATATTGTGTAAGAATTTTATTGTTGCTTCAGGCATATCAGAGGTGACAAATTATTTGATCCCGCCCCCACCCCTGTCCCCTGATTGTTCCTTATGGACTTTCTTTTTGCCAGTAAATTTCTGTAAACAACTGATGTTTCAAAGTTTTAGCGTACTTTTTACCCCCTTTTTTAAAATTTAAATCTCCCTTGGATTACTGTTCTAAACTGTGGTATATTTATATGTTTCAAAGTCACATTGCACAGATACTAACTTTTGCTTTATTTTTCTTTAGTAGTGGGCACACATTAGTCCTTATAATATGCATACAAATAGTTGTTACATGGTGAAAGGTTTTATATCAATTTGGTGGCTAACTTTGTAACTACAGATGTTCTTTTAAAAAATGTTATTGATGCATAAAAGTGCATGTTGTCTGTAATTGCAGGTTGATGCAACTGAGAGTGAACCAAAGAGCTTTATCTTTATGAGTGAAGATGCGTTAACAAATCCTGACAAGCTGCTGGTCCTAATTCATGGTAATGGTGTTGTCAGAGCAGGTCAGTGGGCTAGGAGACTTATAATTAACGAAGATCTGGACAGTGGCACACAGATACCATATATAAAGAGAGCTATTGAGGTAAGTGAAAGTGCATGTATGTATGGTTGTGTGGGAAAATGCATGTGTATGTGCGTACCTGTGTATGAAGAGCTCTGAATCTGTGATGTTTTAATTTGTTATCAGTGTTCAGTATTTCCCTATATGACAATTTTATTTACGATGGGAATACTTGCTTGTTTTTTTCAGAACTTTTTTCTAATGGAACCAAGTTTCTCTGTTACTGTAGAAAAAATCTTAGTTGTATGTCATGTTGTTGTGGCGGTGCTGCCATGTAGTTTAATATGGCAGCTAACGTGACAAGAGCCCTTAGCAGGCGATGAGATGCAATAGAAAGCACTACAGAAATTTGTTATGATTTGAAGTGTTTTCTTTTACATTTCATTAAATTTGTACGTATTCTCACTCAACGTCTGTTGTAATCTCATGATAACATGAGCTTTCGTGATAACAGCAGGCTTTTTTGCTAGGCTTGTACTGAATTTATTAGAGGCACAGTCTTTTTCAGTTTTGCACTGAATACTGATTCATACTGATTCATTCTGATTCACCTATCAATACTTGACAGTAAAAAAAAAATTTACATTTTATGGACACTATTTTGTTACATTTACATCTATGTGAGAGACAATGCACAATTTGTGTAATGTTTTTAACATTGGAACTCTGTAGGTATAATTCATTTCTTGCATTCTGCTACCTAAATGAAACTTCCTGTACTAAACATTACAAAAGCCTGTTTAAGACTCACTATTTCTATTATATTTACCAAGTTAAGCTAATGTTCTACTCTAAATATCAGTCTTGTCACTGTGATTGTTATGTGTTTTGCTAAATGAAGTTTAATTTTTTGCAGTTGGCTTTAAAGTATTCAGTATAGAAAATGGTTCTCTTCAAATACGGTTTTTTTTAATGAAGCAAAGGAAGAAAATGTATTAAAACATTAGGTCATTAAGTAATTTTTGTTTTGTACAATCCACTAACAAAGCACCAGACTACACTTTGTGTGAAAAAGAAACCTAGTCTTGTGAAAGTGATGCTTGCCGCCTTCTAACATAAAGGTTTTGTTCATTTTAAATCAAGACTCGGGCAGAACAAAAAATACTTTAAGATTATTGAGTGTAATAGAGGTGTATGGTAGGTCCAGTGTAGGAGGTTAATTTCTAGAGTGTAAGTTCCAAAACCTTTCCCAAGAAACCCTAAGGGCTGTAGCCACTTAAATTTTCACAGCAGTGCTTACATGCCTGCATTTTCATTCTTCCCTAAAGATGCTGCTGCCTTGGCTAACATGAGAGGCTGAGCATTTAAAACTGGGATACTACCCCTAAATTAACAGATAATCTTTAAGAGAGTATTTCTAGTAGAGTTATAGTTCTTTTTCCTGTTTTTTATTATTTTTATTTATTTTATGCAGTGATTGTGCCAGTGTGACAGAGATCAGACCTGTGTTCCCTCAAATGGTTATTATCCTTAAAAACAGATTATGTATTTCTGCATTTTGAATGCTTCTTTAAAAAAACATGGAAAAACCCAAAGAGTTGATGACAAAGTATCTTTAAAAAAATGTAATCGTTCAATCACATGGAGAGATCAGACTTTGTGCTCTTATCTTTTGACTTCCTTCTATCTTAGCACGGTTTTTCAATTCATAGTTCTCTTTAGTTGAGTAATTTCAGCTACTGTAAAACCTGCTCTCCCTTTTTGTGCATCTTAAAATTCTGGTAAATGTATTACATATTTAGAACACATACTATTTGCAATGATTTTTTTTAATGCAAAATGAAGATTAGATCATATTCAATTGTATTATATTAAATATGTTTCTATTTTTTGTATCCTGTAATCACTGTAGTGGGAATTGGATGTATATCTGGTTAGATAAGGCAGTATTTTATGGAAGTCAAACCCCACTGAAAGTATTTGGAACTATTATGTTGTGAATAAAAAGAGAATACGGACAGTTACATGGTGATATCACGTCTACTTCATGTACAGATCATATAAATTACTCTTCCAAATGCAGGAAATTATGGTAGAGTGAGTATAAGGACTCCAGTTTTGGTTAATAGTAATAAAAATTGCATCCTTTTCTAGGTTTTCTGGTGTTCAGTCCTCTAGCTGATTTAGGCACTTTTGTCTTGTATGAAATGAAAATAACTGGCCTAGACGATAAATGGCCTGTATGAAAATTGTGATAACTCCTCACGCAATGTTGCCAGTTCGATGTAAGGAATTATTTTCCTTGATCTTCCATGTTTCTTCTAAGAAGAGGTCTCGTCCTTGAATGAAACCAGCAGACCTTATCAAAGTATAAGATTACAGTGCTGATGACAGGTGAACATGGATTTTTTTTCTAATAAACTATGTGAATTTGAAGTGGATAGTACTATCTAGGATTTGAAAATTCCACTGATCTGTTGTGAGTGTGAAACATATACAGGTAGCTTAAAATATTTGCTGGAGACTAGGTTTTCATTTAAAAAAAAAAATATTGCAAAAGTAGTGCTTAAATGTCTTTTGTGCAGAAACTAGTTCAGAAATATCACCTTTGTTTCCCTTAAAACAAAACCAAACAGACAAACAAACAAAAAAAACACAGTAGGTCCAAACTGTATCTTTTTTTCTACTGCTTTTCTATGTGGAGAGTGATGAGACTACCACAAGCTTCAGTTCATTTCTTGGAAAAACTGAAAACAAGGGTGCAAAAACTGGAGTTATCAGTGAGCAGTGGATTGAGAAGGATGAACTGATACTGCGCTCCTAACCAGGAAGTTAAGGGAAGAAAAGAAATGAAACTATTTCTCTCTGGTACAACACTTTTGATAAAAAAAATAAAAAAACCCTTTTCTCTTAAAGCATATGTGGAATAAGGGAGCAATGTAAAGGTTTAAAATTTATCATGCTTCTGGTGGCTTGGGGCTCATACACACTGGAAAGAAAAGATCCAAGGAGAAATACTCTAGTGGGAATTAGTGTAGCTAGAAATGTGTTTTTTCTTTTCATCTGGGTGGTTCCTGTCGGTAAATGCTTCTCCTTCCATCTTTTATATCAAACTCTTGTGTGTAATAGGTGTTTGGAGTAGTTTACAAGGTTTTATGTGAAGAGGTAAGATTAATGTGTTGATTCAGAAATTCAAACTTGATAGTGTAAAAGAAATTTTGAAATATGAAAGAAGAGGAGGACAAACAAGCAACTACATAGAGAACAGATTGTAGGAGGGAGAAAAGTGTATACAATGTGAGAGACAGATATGTGTAAATACGTTAAAACACGGTAAGAAAAGACCTACTTTAGAAAAACAACTATGAAAAAGGCAAATGTGATAATATAAAGCAGTGAGACTGTAACAAAAGCTTAATTAAAATAAAACAAATACATATTACAAACATTTAAAATAAAAAAGATGGCAATTTTAATGTCTTGTCTACATTTGGCTAAATGTCTCATTCACTGCCTGTAGAGTCAGGCTCTTCTCAGATCAGTTATTATTTAGTCATATATACAATGGCTGAAGCAGTGACAGGAGAAGATGGTGAGAGACAGAGGTAAATTCTTTAATTCACTGATGAGGGCATTTACGTGGGGTGTCAAGAATTAAGATTTACACCAGGCTCTTTAGGCAGAGGAGTTTATGAGAAGGTGTGCTTCTCTGGTTCATTGCCAAGTGGCAACAACATGGATGATAATCTGAAGATTTAGTTGGGAGCTGTACTAGTGATACCAGTGATAGAGGGGACCAAGCAAGAAGGGGTTCAAAAGTTGGCTACTGCTCCATGCAATAGCGTTCCTTCTGTAGTGGTTGGAGAAGTGAACTCTGTGCTTTAAAGTCTGCTGAGTGTTAGACAAGGAGAAGCTGAAGTTGATCTACCTATGGAGGAAGTTTGTGCCTTGGGGAAACAAGAGCTCAGCTTACCTAAGTTTGGACACTGAGAAGAATTTTGGAGTACTGTTGTCTTTGATATCTTTCCTCTAGGGAATAAAGAGGACATCAGCTTACTGCATGAGTACAAAGAAACTGTGGGATGTTTTCTGCCCCTTTGGAAATTCAGTGCCTTGTTACCCAAGATAGCTGTGGTCCCAAGGATGCTAATGAAATTCAACCACAGCAACTGTCGGTTATTTGATTTAAAAAAAAAATTACTACTTTTTAAAAAAAAACATCCAGGAATTGTTGCCTGGTTTCAAATTCAGCACACTTGAAGATAGCTTAGATATTTTTATTATTATTTAAAGGAGAATTAATACTTGACATAGAGGTAATAGCACCAGAAAAATAGCTTCTTCAAAGAACCTAGATGAGTTTTTCAGAAGAGATGCAGCAGCACCAAAACATCTGAATTTCCATGAACAATCAAAAAAAAGGTTTGCATGAGATGGGCATCAACTGCAGAAATCTTTCTTTAATGGCTGACATAACATGATTTTCAGCTTCAGTTTTCTCTTGTGTTAATCCTGCTCTTCTTTCTCCATTTTCTTAACAATTTCTGTTCTTAAGAATATTTTTGGCCAGAATATTGGATTTATTCACTCATATTAACATCATTCATTTGTATAAAACTATCAGGTTGGTAATATTTGCAGAGAATTGGTGAGGGTTTCTTTCTTCAACATGCAATAAGATGTTACTGGTTTTGTAACTCAGTTGAATGGAACAACAAAATCATTTGGTGTAACAGTAGTAAATTTACCCACCATAACTTTTATGTGATTTAGTAACCTTACTGGTTAGTAACTGGCATGGTAGCACATTTCAGTCTTTCCATTTTGTAAAAATCAACTGGTTTCAAAAGGTGATATTTACAGACTGTTGTCAAGAAATTATGCTTTGTTTAAACTACACTAACAAGAATTCTTGCTGAGAAACTTTCATATCTCACTGTTAAGCATAGAATATCTTGTTAGACAACATTCTCTTTGTTCTAGCAGTCATATTTCAGGAACCTGAGATTTAAAATTTTGTCTCATAGTTTATACATGCTTAGCATAATTTCAATAAGATGGGCACATGACACTTTCTGGGA